ACCAAAAATAAAATATTTGTTGGGCATGGGAATGTGTACCTGTAGTCCCAGCTACTTAAGAGACTGAGGAGGGAGGATCGCTTGAGTCTGGGAGTTTGAGGCTACAGTGAGTTGTGATCACGCCACTTTACTCTAGCCTGGGCGACAGAGTGTGAGATCCTGTGTCTTTGGTTTGTTGTTATTGTTGTTTTCTTTTGAGATAGAGTCTCTCTGTCAACCCTGTCTCTCAAAAAATATTTTTTTTTCTTGTCCTGACTAGTTTTAGGGAAAGTGTCACACCATCGACTGAAAGGCCAGTTCTGATTTAGAAAAAAATAAACCTTTTCAATTAAATACGAAGATGTAGTTGTAACACTTTGGACCAAAAATACAAGTAAATTACACTTAAAAAAAAAAGATGTTGGTGAAGGCCATGGACATCACTTGGAAAGTGAGTCATGTAAGGGTAACAATGAGATACCATCAGATTCCCAGGTGAGTGTCTGAAGTCCCATTGGCTGTCCAAAGAGGGTTTGAACCCAACTGTTGACTTCTCTTTTTCATAACCTTTCTTCCTACATCCATCTTCACTTAGTTTCTCCCTCCAATTCCTTAACATACTGGATTTGATGAGGAGATGAATTCCCTTCCTCTGAGAGTCCTTTTGGAGACAGGCTTCAGGTCATGGTATTCCAGCATTTAGGCTGCACGGCAGCCCCCCAGTGAAGGCATGGGAAAGTGTCAGAAAATGAAATGGGCCTCCACTGGAGAGACAGTCCAGCTTCTTTCCCAAGGAGCCATTGGATATTTATAGAGCCAGCCTTAGGATGTATGCCCATTGCTGAGAAGGTTTTGCGGCCCGATCTGGTATACATTAGAGGCTCCATCTTTCCATCTCCTCAGTTCATGAAGCGTTGGTTCCTGGCCTAGGAGAAACTGAAAGCCAAACCAAACAGGGGACTTTTCTTCTTCATAGTTATTGTGAGCCAGCCAATTCCAGGATTTAAGCTTAGGCTTGTTAGGCTTTAGTTCTTCTGGGAAATGCCATCTGTTAGGAGAATGGATTTCTGGGCAGCAAAAGTGCTATTAATTCTATTCTAGTGTAGTTGCTGTATGGCAAGGCTCATATTACCCTTTACTCTGGGGGCAGGGAGAAAGGGTTAGGATCAGGCATTTGCCACCATTAAATCCACCCTCTTTTTTGTACATTCTGCCTGTTGTCCCAGTTCACTGCCACACCCTCGCCCCACACATACACACCAGACCTCTCCTTTAGTTTTCAAGCCACTACACAATTGAAATGTTTGTGTGAATTTTCATATACAGTCTAATCTTTATGTCAAGTGTGCAATAAAGCTCAACATTTGTCTAGAGCAAACAAGGAAGTCTTGTTAGGAAATTCGTTCCTTAGGATCTTATGTCTTAAATTGGACTGGTGCCTTTTGTTGTCACAGTTGTTTTTATAATGACATATACGTAGGTTTGCCTTTCTGAATTCTTAACGTTGAATCTACTGTTGGTTGGCACCCACCACTAGCATAAAGTTGTACTCTTTCAATCAGTGGGACAAATTCACATGCCAGTCGAGGCTGATTCACCTGTTCAGTGCTGTGAGTGATTTGAAGAGGACCACCTTCTCAGCACTTCTTTGGCCCAGAGTCACAGGGACACTCTTCTCAAGAATGTGGTCCTGGTAAGGGAATTTGTAAAATACTTACAGATTTCAGGAGTCCACAGTTTCAGGCAGAAGGAGAAAACATCTGCTGGTTTGAAATACTGGAGACGAATTCTTGTCCAGTGCCCAGGAAAACTGGTGTTCTGACCAAAGACTCAGGGAGACTGGAAACTCTTGGGATGTGGATGACAGAGGAAGGGGTTAGGGATGGAGAATGGAGTAGAAATCCATGTGTTCAGGACAGAATCAAAAACAGCATCCTTGATTTCTCTCTCCTTCTTACCCTTCATAATCAATCTGTTAGCAGGTCCTGCCAGTCCCACCTTCAAATCATGTCCTTGATGTCATTCACGTCTTCTTCACTATCATCACCTAGCTAAGCCTCTGCCATCTCTCACCTGGTCAACCCCAATACCTCCTCTGACTAGTTTCTGTGTATCTTCTCTTGCTGCATTCTAATTCATTCTCCATGCAGAAGACAGGGAAATCTTTTGCAATTGCAAATTAGATCACAAGGCTTTCCTGCTGGCATCCCTTGGGCCACTCTCCTTTGTTCCTGGAATTCCATCAAGCCACCTACCATGGCCTACAGAGTCCCCAGTGTTCTGGCTCCTGCTCACCTCTTCTAAGTCTTCTCATTCCTCTCTCCCACAGCCATGGTGCTCCAGTCACACGGCCTCCACTCTATTTCTGGCCAAGCATTTTGGTTTTCTGCATTATTTCTTCTTCTCCTCCTCCTCCTCCTCTTCTTCCTTCTTCTTCCTTTTCCTCTTCTTCCTCTTCTTTTTCCTTTTTTTAACAGGGAGTCACTTTGTTGCCTAGGCTGGAGTGCAGTACAGTGTCCTGATCACAGCCCATTGCAACCTCAACCTCCCAGGCTCAAGAGATCCTGCCACCTTAGCCTCCTGAGTAGCTGGGACCACAGGTGCATACCACCACACCCGGCTAATTTTAAAATTTTTTCTAGAGACAGGGTTTCACCATGTTACCCAAGCTGGTTTTGAACTCCTGAGTTCAAGCAATCCACCTGCCTGGGCCTCCCACAATTCTGGGATTACAGGCATAAGCTACTATGCCCAGCCTAATATGGGTCATTTTAAGCCCTCCTCAATGTGCATTAAATACTGTACTTGTGTTCAGGCATGCTGGCTCATACCTGTAATCCTAGCACTTTGGGAGGTCGAGGCAGATTGCTTGAGCCCAGGAGTTCGAGACCAGCCTAGGCAACATGGCGAAACCCAGTCTCTACCGAATATACAAAAAAAAAAAAAAGGCCAGGCATGGTGGCGTGTGCCTGTAGTCCCACCTACTTGGGAGGATGGTTTGAGCCTGGGAGGTGGAGGTTGCAGTGAACCAAGATGACACCACTGCACTCCAGTCTGGGTGACAGAGCCAAACTCTGTCTCAAAAAAAAAAAAAAAAGTACTGTACTCGTTTACTGAATGATTGTTTATTTGCCCCCACTTACCCTTTGAAATTTACCAAAGACTAGGATTAGCAATCATTCTTTATTTCCCTGTTCCATCTGTTCTGAGTTAGGAGAAAGACAAAGCAAAATGCAATCTCACCAACAGCAGTATCAACAAAAGAAATCCCTTGAGCCATGTAGCCCCTAGCAGCTAGCCGAGGAAGGCAAGCTGGGATTTGGGAACAAGTGGGTAACCCGGAGCGGAGGGGCCACAGGAGGCATAAGCAGCTTCAGCAGCCAAAGATTTTCCCTTAGTCTTAGGAGGTGACATAAGCAACTTTCCCAGAACCGTCTTGACACAAGCAGTAAATTAAGTAAACAAGGCAGAAGGTCGCCAGAACCTGGTCTCACCTAGTCCTGATCTGACTCTCTGGCATCACGTGGACCAGGAAGCTGGAGGGAAAGTCTTCTCATCCGCCAGTCTGCCTAAAAACAAACCTTTCTGCTTGTGTGGTGGAGGAGTTGCAGAACTTGTAGTCAAAGCATGGTGGTGGAAGGGAAATCACTGTGGGGACTTGAAATACCCTAATGATTTTAAGGGCTTCTGGAGACAAAAGGGGATTAAACTTCAAATTAGGGAAAAGTAAAAGCTCAGTTAACTCATTAGCTGGGCTCACCTAATCTTGGTAGCCTGGGGCACAATTCAACCCAACAGAATTTACTTACCTCTGGAGACTTTAATAAGCTCTGAAGCCAGAGGCCCTGCCCCCATTGCTATGGGATGGGAGAGTCGGGCGGGTGGGGGAGAAGGAGATAAGGCTTGGAGCTGACTGGTTCTGGGGACAAAAGAGCCCTAGGCAGGAGGAGCTGGCTTTGCTCCCTTCACTGATCTGAGTCTTCCTTTCTAACCTGCTTTCAGCTCCACTTATTCATTCAGCCATGCATTCATTCCACAAATGTTAAGTTCCTACTATGCCCTAGGCTTGCTAGGGCTGTAAATTTACTACAGTGTTAAATAAGATATGCAAGATCCCCAACTTCTGGAAATTTACATTCTAGTAGAAGGGCAGACATTTGAAAAATAAACAAGAGCCAGGCATGGTGGTGGGTGCCTGTAGTCACAGCTACTTGGGAGGCTGAGGTGGGAGGATCACTTGAACCCAGGAGTTCAAGACCAACTTGGGCAACACAGCGAGACTCAGTCTCTACAATAAATAAATAAATAAATAATACAAAACAAGTGAAGCACAGGAAAACTGAGAAGTTCTGTGGAACAATTAAAGGGCATACCCACTGAGTAAAGACCTCTTTCAGGAAGTGACGTTAAGTCCAGTATCTGGAAGGAAGGCTTCCTCATTGCTTCTTTTCGTGCTTTGGAGATTTTATGAGTGCATTTCTCCATTCATCAAACATCTAGTGGTAGTATGCAGATGAAATAATTAAAAACCAAAATCGAGTGAGCACCTTTTACGGCCAAACCCTTTGCTTGCTGGGCACTGCCAAAGAAAAGATTGATAAGTCAGGGATCTGCCCTAGAAGAATTTATAATTGAGTGGCAAAGCCTGACAAGTCAACAAGAAAACACTTATGAAGGATAATTTGGCACAGCTGAGCCAGGTGGTCTCTAAGGTCATTCCTTTGTCTAAATATTCTATTGTCTAATAAGTTCCTACTGCATGTCTAGTACTTTGGGGATGCCCATTCTCTCCAAGGCTCTCATAGCCTAACTGCAGAGAAAAGGCTTATATGTATGAAATATTAAGATTGTAGAAACCAGCACCTGTGGTGATTCCTATGTTCTCACTTTGACACCTGTGTACCCCAGAGATCACTGAGGCTTTTAAGATCCATTAGGCTTAGCTCTTGCCCATTAACCATTTTTGGATTTCATCTAGTTTATGGCAAAATATATGCACCTTGCCTTTTTTTTTTTTTCAGGGACCTCTGAGAGGGTCTGGAATTAGGGTTCAGATACCATCCATCTGTTATGTGCTTTGAAGATGCCACTCCATCTGTGGGATTCAATTTACATAAACTGAAGACTATTCTTCTGAGTTGAAGTGAGGAGAGGCATCTATCCTCTCCTCCTGCAAAATTATTTGATCTCCTGGAAGCAAAAAGCCCACTATGAAGTTGTTCTTGCCATGGACTTCTGGAGGAGCTGACTATCCTTTGGGAAGCTACAAATACAGCCTTAAAATCTGTTAGCAGGGAAGAGAGAGAGGCTTTTTCTGAGTGATCAGGTAGGTGAATCCTCCTCTTCCTCCTTCTTCCTCTTTTCCATAGCAATCTGCAATCCCAACCACCCCAATCCCCTGATATTTTGCTGAAATCGCTTCCACTAAATTCCTGATGACCTCCAAATCCACTTGTAACTATGGAGCATCCGCATCTCTTGAAATTCTGTTTTCCTTTGGCTTTTGGGGACACCTCTCTTCCTTGGTTCTTGTCCTGTGTTTCCGGCTGATTATCTTTTAATCTTCACCTCCTTTGGCTGCCCTTTAAAATGGGTATTCCTGGAAGTCCTTAGTTTTCTCCTCTACTCACTCTATTCACAGTTTTGGGGCATTGATAACCAAAATCTCTCTCTCTACATGAAATCCATGTAGACATGGATTTCAAAATGGTGGGATCAGATCTCCAAAGTGTGTATGAGGTCTTTATCTATCATCTGATTTTCAGACACATGTAGTAAACTGCCTTCTAGACTTTCATTGGGTGAATTTAATTCCTAAACCAGTTGTCCTGTTGTTCCAGTCTTAGAGACTGGTACTACCAAAAACTTAGGGGCTATTTAGACTTCTGCTCTCTGTTATATCATTTATTCAGTGGAAATGTATTGATCTTTTACTATATTCTGGGCAGTGGACCATGTGCTGTAGGTACAGCCTCTGCCCCAAAGAGAGTCATAATCCAGGAGACAGGTAAACAATCAGAGAAACACACTGTATGATGTAATCAGAGGGATAAGTCCATGAACAGAAGCACGTTCTAGATGTAAGACATAGAGAAAGCACAGCAGAAGGACTGACTAGGAGATGGAATAGGAAAAAAGGCTTCTTTGAGGAGCTAATGCCTCGGATGGGTTGTGAAACACAGATGGGACCAGGTGCAGAGGTGCATGCCTATAGTCCCAGCTATTTGGGAGGCTGAGGTAGGAGGGCTGCTTGAGCCCAAGAGTTAGAGCATGTAATGTGCAATGATGGTGCCCACGAATGGCCATTGTGCTCCAGGGTGGGCAACATAGCAAGACACCATCTCATAAAAAACAATCAATCAAACAAAACAAAGAGAATGGAATTCCCATGACAAGCGGGGAAGGTGCGGTATTTTAGGCATTTCAGACTTCATGTAAAACGTATGGGTGTGTGAAACCAAATAACATTTAACTAAACAAATATGAGCGGTTTGATATTGAAGGAGTATAAAGTTTAAGGCAAGGGGAAATTTGACAGGAGGTGAGCCAGAAGTAGTAGGTAGGGGCCAAATCATAAGGGGTCTGTATAATAATAAGAGCAATAATAGCTACAATTGGCTGGGCTCAGTGGCTCATGTCTGTAATCCCAGCACTTTGGGAGGCTGAGGTGGGTGGATCACTTGAGGCCAGGAGTTCGAGACCAGTCTGGCCAACATGGTAAAACCCCGTCTCTACTAAAAATACAAAAATTAGCCAGGCATGGTGGTTCTTGCCTGTAATCCTGGCTACTTGGGAGACTGAGGCAGGAAAATTGCTTGAGCCCAGGAGGCAGAGGTTACAGTGAACTGAGATTGCACCACTGCACTCTAACCCGGGCAACAGAGTGAGACTCCATCTCAAAAAATAAATAAATAAATGAAAAATAATAATAGTAATAGGTACAATTTACAAAGTACACTTTACATACAGAACCACTATTGCTCAATCACCCTGTATTATTATTCACACTTTACAGCAAGGGACCTAAGAGGCTGCATATCCCATACAGTTGTTTAGCTGAAATCCACATCCAGGATTCTTTGATTCCAAATTGTAGGCTCTGGCCAAGACCTTTGCTTATGCTTATAATCCTAGCACTTTGGGAGGCCAAGGAAGGAGGATCACTTGAGCTCAGGGTTTGAGACCAGCCTGGGCAACATAGTGAGACCTCATCTCTACAAAACAATACAAATAAATGAGCTGAGTGTTGTGGCACACACATCTAGTCCCAGCTACTCAGGAGGCTGAGGTGGAAGGTTCCCTTGAACTCAGGAGTTCAATGCTGCAGTGAGCTATGATGGTGCCATTGCACTCCAGCCTGGGTGACAGAGTGAGACTCTCTCCCTCTTTCTCTCTCTCTATATGTATATATACACACACACATATACATATACATATACGTATGTGTGTGTATATGTATATATATGTGTGTTGTGTGTGTGTGTGTGTGTATATATATACACAAAACCAAAGCCTAGGCTCTTTGCTGTCTACCACACCTCACTTGGGCGATGCTCAAATGCCCTTCCCTCATGGAGTTTATAATCTAGCACAGGAAACATTAGCATCCACTTGTCTATCCTTTTGTGTGAGTCTCTACTTCAGTTGGAGGAACTGACACTGAAGCTATAAGGATGGAGGAGGATTACAATAAGCCAACGATGACATACCCATCCTTTTTGACAGTGGTTGGTTTAAAAACCAAGGCTTAGTCTAGCAACTGATTAAAAGACATATAAAATGTGATATATTCATACAGTGGAATATTATTCAACAAGAAAAAGGAATAAAATACTGATACATGCAATAACATGGATGAACCTTGGAAACATTATACAAAGTGACAGAAGCCAGTCACTAAGGACCTCATATTGTATAGTTACATTTATATAAAATGTGTGGAATAGACAAATCTGTAGAGGCAGAAAGTAAAGTAGTGGCTGCCTAGGGCTGAAGGGAATGGGGGAGTTGGAGGATGGTGGCTAAAGGGTGGCAAGTTTATTTTGGAGATAATGAAAATATTCTAAAAGTGATCGTGGTGCTGGATACACAACTCTGTGAATATACTAAAAGCTATTGAATTTAATACTTCAAATGGTGAATTGTATGGCATGTGAATTGTATTTCAATAAAGCTGTTTTTAAAAAGGCTAAAGTTAACAGTCCCGTGGAGGAAAAAGTGTTTAGTGCAGGGTGAAGAAGACTGCATGCCATGAGTTGGGAGGGGAGGGGAAATGACCTCTGCTGTTTGTGAGGTCAGAAACTAGGGTGAGGCTGCCTTGGCCACAGATGGTGGTGGCGTATGGTTCTGAGGTAAGTAGAGACATTTTTAGTTCCATAATAGTTCTTTCCCCTGGCTTCCAGGCTTCCTACCCTGCTTCCTCACCACCTCCCACTTTGCAAATCATCTCTAGCATCATCCAAATCTGACCTTGGCAGTTCCCTACTTAAAATCCTCCTGGGCACTCTTGTTGCCTTTGGGATAAGGCCCAAATCTTCACACTCCTTTGCCAGCCTATGAAGCCCCTTGTGGTGTCACCCTCCCACCCCTCTGCTTTTGTCTCCCACAAGTATCCATGGCCACACTGGTTTGTTGTCTCACAGCTCTGCCTCTCCCAGGGTGCTGAAATTCCTGCCTGGAATGCCCTTCCGCTTGCCTGACTTCCTAATCCACCCACCATTCAGTGTGGCTCAAATATCACCTCCTCCAGGAAGCTTTGGACTTGTCCAGGCTGGGCTAAAGGTCGTCCCTCTTTTGTGTTCCTAGCACGCTTTTATATACATTCTGGCTATCTAATCTATGCACTTGTTATTACCCACTTCTAATTGTGTTAGTTTCAACTCTTAGTCTGAATTCTTACCACTTGACCTTGGCCAAGTTACTTAACATCTCAATATACTGATCAAAAAGGGGATTAAAAACAGTATCTTCTTCCTAAATGTGCTGTGAAGATTAAAGTTATTAAAAATACGAGAAAATGTGTTAAAGCCATATATATTGTGTATATATTAAAATATATATTCAAATGCTTTGCACCATGTGTTGCACAGTGTAAGTACTACATAAATGAAGATTTTATTCTGGCTGTTATTATTGATCATTTATACTAAACTGTAAGCCCCTTGAGAATAGTGACATATTTATCTAATCTACTGCCTGACATCTGGTATACAAGTATACTGCCTGACATCTGGTAAGCATTCAGGAGATACCTGGGTCTATGTCTCCCCCATGTTTTCCATGCTGGCTTTGCCATTTTAAGTATTTTGTATTCACAAAGACTTGGTGAAACTATAACTCAACTCTTTTTTTGTTTTGCTTTTTCTTAATTAAGTAATCCTCCCTCCTCAGCCTCCAAGGAGCTCGGATTACAAGTGTGTGCCACCCATGCCTAACTCTACTCTTGGACTTTTTGATTTTCAAAGAATGTGGTCGTGTGGGGGAGGAGGAATTTGCATGGGGGAAAAAATCCAACTTTCTGAGACAGTCCCAGAAGAGATGAAGAAAGATGAGGTTTTTTTTATTTTGCCTAGGTGCCTGGAGGCTGGGAGGCTTTATCTGAACAAGAATATCTGCCTCATCCTTGAAGACAGAGGGAGGAATCGTTCCTCTCCATGTTTTTATTAGAACATTTGGAAATCCTGAGAACAGAGAGTTCTTTTGTCAGATAAAGGCTCAGGCAAATGGGGAGCTAGACTAGATGAAGTAATTGTTGTGGGTATATTTTCCAAACTCTAAAGAAGACAAACTATGGCTCAAAAGAATTGTTTTTATCCTGATTTGTGATTTTATTTATATAGGAAGTGGTGCAAAGATATAAAACACTGAAATTGCATGAATGAATTATCTTTATTAAAGATAGACAAAAGAAACAAGTGTAGTCAAAAATACTTCAGTGTTTGTAATGTTTTATATTAAAGAAGGTTTAGTTCATTGGGCACATTGGCCAGAGGTTGATCAGAACGGGGCAGAGGGCAGTGTATGAGGTGTAGATAATGTATATATTGATCCGAATGGCAGCTTTATGGTTGTATATATTTGTAAAAATATATCAAGTATCATTCAAAGATTTGGGCAATTCAATAAAAAAGTTCAGGGAAAAAACTTTAGTGAATAAAATGGTGAGAATTGTAATTCTCACCATTTATTTACAATAGAAGTAGATAGAATATTTTACTCATATTTGCATGTTTGATGAACTCAGTTTACTAAGTCATTGTGATGTTTGCTAACTTAACTCTTTCAGATATTATTTGTAGGAATATTAGAATTTCTGTGAAATGTCAA